CAGCCGCGGCAGCAGCAGCAGCAGCAGCAGCAGCAGCGACAGCAGCAGCAGCAGCAGCAGCCGCGGCAGCAGCGACAGCAGCAGCAGCAGCAGCAGCCGCGGCAGCAGCAGCAGCAGCAGCGGCAGCAGCAGCGGCAGCAGCAGCAACAGCAGCAGCAGCAGCAGCGGCAGCAGCAGCAGCTGCAGCAGCAGCAGCTGCAGCAGGGGACTACAGTGGGCTGTCTCCGCTTTGGGGGATGCCGAGTTCGGGTGTCTCCTCAAGCAGCAAACAGAGACGACAGCAGCAGCAGCAGCAGCAGCAGCAGCAGCAGCAAACACGGAGCCATGAGCAGGAAGTCTCTGCAGCAGCAGCAGCAGCAACAGCAGCAGCAGCAGCAGCAGGATGAGTCGCACCGAAAGAAGAGAAAGCACCAACAGCAAGAGCAGCATCAGGATCAGCAACAGCAGCAGCAGCAGCAGCAGAAGCAGCAGCAGGAAGTCTCCCCCTCCAAGACAAACAGAAGGAGGGGGCCTCTGCGGCGCTGTCGGATGCAGCAGCAGAAGACAGGAGTAGGGCGAGTGGAGGCATGTGGTAGCAGCAGGAGGGTGAGCATTAGCAGCAGCAGCAGCAGCAGCAGCAGCAGCAGCGAGAAAGAAGGGGGCGAGGAGACGCTGCTGCAGGAAGATATGTTGCTGGGCCCTTGGCTGCAGCAAGAAGAGACTGTAGATTGTTTTGCTGCTCGGCTTGGCAGCAAAGACAACCATTTCTTAGAGTTTGCTGGGGGCTGGGACCCCGTAGCAAAGGTAAAGAGCCGCTGCAGACAGCTGCGCCTGCTGCAGCAGCAGCTGCAGCAGCAACTCCAGCAGCAACTCCAGCAGCAGCTGGAGCAGCAACTGCAACACAGACTGCAGCAGCAGCTACAGCAGCAACCACGCAAACGACCTCACACGCACAACAACCTGCTGCAGCAACTCCAGTTGCTGCATCAGAAGACGCAACAGAGACATCGCCAGCAGCAGCAGCAGCAGCAGCAGCAGCAAGCAGCGGGCTGTCTGCCCAGCAGCAAGAGACCTATGTGGGGCCCCACAGCAGCAGAGGGAGTTGAAGTTGTGGGGTTAGGGTTTGGGGCTGCAGAGACAGAGACAGAAGTTCTGCACAAGTGCACAGAGAGATGCTACTGCGGTATTAGTTGCGGCTAAAGCCATATAGCGGCAGCAGCAGCAGCAGCAACAGCAGCAGCAGCAGCAACAGCAGCTGCTGCATCTCTCGAAAACACCCTCTACTGCAGTGATGATAACAGCAGCAATTTTTTTTCGCTTCAGTATTGAATGCAACGGCAGCTGCTGTAGCCGTTGCCGCTGCCCTAGTCGCAGCAGCAGCAGCAGCAGCAGACTGTGTCGGCAGCGTTGCTGCGAAGCTGTACGCCCAGCAGCGGACAGTGGGAGTGGTGCGGCTGCTGCTGCTGCAGCTGCTGCTGCTGCAGCTGTAGCTGCAAGAGTTGCTGCTGCTGCTGTCTCAACGGGAGTTGCTGCGTAAGTTTAGTTCTTAAGAATTACTTGGGGGCAGCAGAGGCCGCCTTGGCAGCAACTGCTACTGATTAAAACCCTGCTGCAGTAGCAGCAGCTGCAGCAGCAGCAGCTGGTGCTGCTGAAACGCTGAAGGGTTTGCTGCAGTTGGGGTTTATAAAGTGTTTAATTTGGCTGCAGCAAAAAGACAGCACTGACTGCCTTCAGATGAAACTCCCTCCAAGCTAGGGTTTAGGGTTTAGGGTTTAAAGCCAGTGCTTAGAAGGCTTAGGCTGCAAGACAGAATAAGGGTTTGCTAGCGTGAGGGTTTGAGGTTTATTAGAGTCTCTGGTTGGGGGCAGTCGAAGGCTTAGGGTTTAGGGTTTAGGGTTTAGGGTTTAGGGTTTAGGCCAAGACGTCTGTAGGTCTTGAGGGTTTAGGGTTTAGAGGTAGCAGAGATATGCGGAGTTGGGGTTTAGGGTTTAGGGTTTGGTTTGTCTTCAGCAGCTCTGAGCCTCTTGAATACAGCAGTACGCAGGCCCAGTGATTTAGCCGTCCCAAACTAGGGTTTAGGGTTTAGGGTTTAGGGTCTAGTTCAGCTGCTGCAGTAGCTGTTGCTGTTGTTGTTGCTGCTGCTGCTGCTGCTTCTTCGGCAGCAGCAGCAGCAGCAACAGCCAACGACGCGCTGTGTCTCTGCTTCTTCTCACCGTCTTCTGCAGCAACAGCTGCAGAAGGAAGAGACAGGAAAGGCGTAGATTGTTTATGTTGCTGCTGCAGCTCCAGCTGCAGCAATGGAGGTGCCCATACACCCCAAACACACCGCCACACAACAACAGCCTGGAGCAGACTGCAGCATCAGAAATTATTTGCTGCAGCAAAAAAAGCCATCTCAGTATAGCAGCAGCAGCAGCTGCTGCTGATGCTGCTGCTGCTGTTGCTGCTGCTGCTGCATGCGGCGTGTCAAGACCCTCGGCCCCACAGAGGGGGCCCCACAGCAGCACTGGGGCCTGCAGCGTTAAAATAAAAGTTTCCCCCTTTCTTTTTGAGTAAAATAAATAAAATAAATAAAAATAAAATAAATAAATTAATTAATTTAAGTTGATTTATAAACTGCAGCTACAACTTCGCTGCCTTCTGCAGCAGCAGCAACGCCAGAAGGCTCGCGGGCCCCAACACGCAGCACCGCAGGGGCCTCCCTCTTCTTGAAACTGCAGCAACAGCAACAGCAACAGCAACAGAAGAAGCAGCAGCAACAGCAGCAGGAGCGGCAACAGCAGCAGCAGCAGCAGCAGCGGTAGCTGCCTCATTGTCTACTCCGACTCCTCGCTTAGTGCCGCAGGAGGAGATGCTGCTTGGCGTGCTGCAGCATAACCCACCGCATCAGCAGCATTGACAACAGTAGCAGCATCAGCAGCAGCAGCAGCGAGATCAGCAGCAGCAGCAAGGGCAGCACAGGCAGCTGTTGCTGCTGCAGCAAATCAAAATGGCCCCAAGGGGTCGCCGAGCTGTCATCAAAGAAGAGGAATTGTCTCAAGATGAGGATACACCGCAGGAGTTTGTTAGCAGCAACAGCAGCACCAGCATCAGCCGCCGCCGCAGCAACAGCAGCAGCAGCAACAGCAGCAACAGGAGCAGCAGCAGCAGCAGCAGCGACGGCGGCAGCGATGATTCTGACGTAGAAGAGGGCTGCGAGGGGCTGCTGGAGTCGCTGCAGCAGGAGGAGCAGCAGAAGCAGCGAGCATCAGAAGCTGCAGCAGCAGCAGCAGCAGCAGCAAAAAAGTGCGACGGGGCAGCAGAGGGGACCCTGCAGCTCCTCCGCGATTCGGAGACAGATGCAGCAAGTATGTTGCTGCTGGCCATAAGGCTGCTGCTGCTGCTGCTGCTGCTGCTGTTGTTTTAGCTGCTGCTGCTGGCGCTTCCGGTGCTGCTGCATTTCATTGTGCTGCTGCTGCTGTCTGCTGAGACAGACGCAGCAAGTCCCGACGGCATGCATTATATGGTGTATATAACTCTTCATGTGCTGCTGCTGTTGCTGCTGCTGTTGCTGCTGTTGTTGCTGCTGCTGCTGCTTGTCTTGTGCAGGTTTTGGGTTCGAAGATATATTGGCAGGGGTTGAGGGCAGCACGCAGCACGGGGAGCTGCAGCAGCAGCTGAGTGCGCTGGCGGCTCCGTCGCGTCGTCTTGCTGCAGCAGCAGCAGCAGCAGCAGCAGCAGAAGCAGCAGGGGACGGCGCAGGAGCAGCAGCAGCAGCAGAAGCAGCAAAGCAGGTAGAACTCGATTCGGGTGTGCTGCCGGAGCGGCTGCCGCTGCATCAGCAGCAGCTGCTGCTGCGGCAGCAGCAATATGAGTATGCGCAGCAGGATGCATGCAAGTGGATGCCTGCGGTGCTGCAGCAGCAGCAGCAGCGGCAGCTGCACTTTGGCTTCACTGCAGCAACAGCAGAAACAAGCACCACGCGCAGCATGCAGCAAGCAGCAGCACTTATGCAGCCCCAGGGCTTCGAGGCTTTGCTGCTGAATGCTGTTGCTGCTAGCAGCACGGAGCAGCAGCAGCTGCTGCGGGAGAAGGCGCTGGCTCCAGCAGACCCCATCAGGCGACAGGTACAACAACAACAGCAGCAGCAGCAGCATCAGCAGCAGCAGGAGCAGCAGCAGCAGGAGCAGGGGTATGCGCAGCAAGGGCTTGATTGTGTGTGTGTGTGTTGCATGCGTTGCTGCTGCTGCAGGAAGAGCAGCAGCGAGCAGCACGACTACGCTTTCTTTTAACTGAAGAGCACCGAAGGTTAAAGAGGTTAAAACAAATAAAATCAAAAGAAGGGCGAAGGAAAAGGAGACAGTTAGAGACTCGGCAGCAGCAGCAGCTGCTAGAGAGGCTGCAGCAGGAGAACCCCGAGCTTGCTGCTCAGCTGCTGCAGCAGCTGCAGCAGCAACACGCGAAGCAACGCATCCTTAGGCAGCAGCAAGCAAGGACCCGCTGGGCGCGGCTCGCGCAGCGCTTTGGTGGTAAAGACATGCAGGCGGAGATCAGCAGACAGCAGCAGGTATAATAAACCCTAAACCCTAAACCCTAAACCCTAAACCCTAAACCCTAAACCCTAAGCTAGAAACACTCTAGTCGGGAGAGACAAACTTGCACAAGCAGAAGAGACACCACACAGCGCTTACTGCTCCTACTGCTGCTGCTGCTGCTGCTGTTGCTGTGGCTGCTGCTGCTACTGCTGCTGCTGCGGCTGCTGTTGCACCTGCTGTTGCTGTTGATCCTGCTGCTTCTGTTGGTGTTGCTGCTGCTGCTGTTGCTGCTGCTGTTGTTCCTACTACTACTCCTGCTGCTGCTGCTGCTGCTGCTGTGCTGCAGCGGGGACTAGATGAGCGTCGGGCCTTAGAAAAGGCTGTGAAGGGACAGCAGCAAAGCGACGGTGAGTGTGGGTGCTGCTGCTGTTGCTGCTGCTGCTGCTGCGACATTCCTTTGCTGCTGCTGCTGCTGCTGCTGCTGTAGCTGCTGAGGCTGCTCCTGGCGTTTGCTGCTGCGCTTCAGAGAGCGACGACGAGGGCCGCGCTAACAGCAGCAGCGATGAGTGGGAGGAAGAGACAGCGGGGCCTCAGACAGCAGGAGAGAAGCTAGAAGCTCTGCGTGCAGCACGAGCAGCAGCAGCAGCAGCAGGAGCAGCAGGAGCAGCAGCAGCAGCAGCAGGAGAAGCAGCAGCAGCAGCAGCAGGAGCTCAGGATACACCCGAGCTGCCACAGAAGGGACTCCTGGCCCTGCCGTTTGTAAGGAGAGGCATTGAGAGGGCACGAGAAGAAGCAGCAGCACTGCAAGCGAAGATAGAGAGGAGGAAGCAGCAGCGAGCAGCAGGCATACCCAGCAGCAGCAGCAGCAGCAGCGACGGCAGCAGCAGCGAGGCAGAGGAGAGCAGCAGCAGCAGTGAAACGGAAGCCAGCGAAGATGAACAAGAAGGATCTGAAGGAGATGTTGCTGCAGCGAGCAGCAGCAGCGCAGCAGCAAAGGCAGCAAAGCTACGCATGGCTGCTGTGAAGCAAAAGAGGAAGAGCAAGAAAGCTGCTGCTGCTGCTGCAGCAGCAGCTGCTGCTAATGCTGCTAAACCCCCTGAAGTAGATAAAGAAGAGCTGCAGCAGGCGGAGGAACTTGTCTCTTCGATTATGAAGGAAGGAGGCCTCGAGGCTTTGCTGTCTTCTACTGTAGCAGCAGCAGAAGAGAAGCAGCAGGAGCAGGAGCAGCAGCAGCAGGAGCAGCAGCAGCAGCAAGATGATGAGGAAGCAAGCGGCGAAGAGGAAGAAGACCCGGCAGTGTCTTCGAAGGCCGCCATTGCTTCGCTGCAGCGGACGCTGCAGCAGCAGCAGCGGGAGCAGCAGCAGCAGCAGCAGAAGCGCAAGGAGATGCGGCAGCAGCAGCACGCAGAAAAGGCAGCAGAGTTGCAGATGCAGGCAGCAGCGCAGCTGAAGAAGCAGCAGAAACAAAAGAAGCAGCAGGAAACACAGAGCAGCAACCCGTGGATGCAGCAGCAAAAGAGCAGCAGCAAAAAACAAGCAGCAGCACCTGCTGCTGCTGCTGCTGCAGGGACGTCTGGACCTGTAAAGACGCTCCAAGAAGGCTTGGAGGACTTTGTAAGCCTAGTATTGATTTTGCTGCTGCTGTTGGTGCTGCTGCTGCTGCTGTCTTGGTTGTTGCTGCTGCTGCTTCTGTTGTTGTTGCTGCTGCTTCATGCAATTTCTTGTTGCTGTGTTGCTGCTGTGGCTCCCCAGCTGCAAGATGTCTCTCAGGAGACAGCTGCTGCTGAGGCGAAGGAAGAGACCCCGAAAGCCGTCGAGGCGCAGCAGCAGCAGCAGCAGCAGCAGCAACAGCAGAAAAAGCAGCAGCAGCAGCAGAAGAAGCAGCAGCAGCAGAGGCAGCGGGAGGAGGAGCAGCAGATGTTGGTGCAGCAAGCATTTGTTACAGGAGATGAAGAGCAGCTCTTTGTGGAAGAAGCTGCAGCAGAAGCAAGAAAAGACAAAGAAGAAAATGAAGGTCTGCGCAAACACATGCATGCATGCATGCATGCATGCATGCATGCATGCATGCAGACAGATAAACATCTTTCTACTTTTTATTGAATTGTTTATTCTCCAATGTATTTTTTTTGTATTTATTTCATCTAAATAATCTGCAGACTTCACTCTTCAATATATATATATATATATATATATATAT